ACGACGCGGGCGCCGACGATGCGGTCGATGATACCGTTCGCTGTACGTATATACGACGCGGGCGCCGACGATGCGGTCGATGATACCGTTCGCTGTACGTATATACGACGCGGGCGCCGACCATGGGCGATGGACGCGACGCCGCGCGCGCGGTGGCGGCGCGCGCGACGACACGTCGCGCGCGACCGCGCGACGGCGACGACGCGCGCGACGACGGGCGCGATCGACGGACGACCGCGATCGACGGCGTCGACGGCGCGAACGACCGCGCGCGCGACCGACCGCGCGCGGGAGGGGTGAGGCGACCGCGCGCGCGCGGTGGCGGCGGCGGCGGGACGGCGACGACGGCGCGTCATGGCGCTCGATGACGCGCGATTGGGCGCGCTGTTGGCACCGGTGGAGGCGTATCTCACGGAGTGTGGGTTGACGAAGACGGCGGCGGCGCTGCGGGCGGAGCGGAAGCTTCGGGCGCATCGAGAATTGGTCGCGGCGAGCGCGCGGGGCGGAGACGCCGCGGCGGCGGCTGGGGCGGAGGACCTGGTCGTCGCTTGGGAGAATCACTCGGGGGAGAAACGGAAGCGTGAAGACGATGAGAATGATGCCAGGGGTGGGAAACGCGCGAAGGGCGGTGATTCGAGCTCGAGCTCGTCGTCGAGCGATGATTCGTCGAGCGACGATTCGTCGGAGAAGAAGGCGGACGTCGAGATGAAGGAGAAATCGAGTAGTTCGTCGTCTTCCAGTAGCGGCTCGTCATCGAGCAGCTCGTCGGAAAAGAAGGCAGCGCCGGCGAAGAGCGACAGTAGCTCGAGCTCGAGCTCGAGCTCTGAAAAGGCGACGAAGGAGACCAAGGATGACGCGTCGTCCTCGAGCTCGTCGTCCTCGAGCTCGTCTTCATCTTCCGAAAAGAAGGAAGAAGCAAAGAAGGATGACTCGTCAAGCAGTAGCTCGAGCTCCTCTTCCAGCTCCTCTTCCTCTTCCGAAAAGAAGGAAGAAGCAAAGAAGGATGACTCGTCAAGCAGTAGCTCGAGCTCCTCTTCTAGCTCCTCTTCCTCTTCCGAGAAGAAGGAGGAAGCCAAGAAGGATGACTCTTCGAGCTCGTCTTCATCGTCCTCGAGCTCTTCCGAGAAGAAGGAAGAGGCAAAGAAGGATGACTCTTCATCGTCCTCCTCTTCTTCCAGCTCGTCCTCGAGCTCTTCTGAGAAGAAGCCTGCCCCGTCTTCCTCTTCTTCGTCTTCCTCGAGCTCTTCCGAGAAGAAGCCTGCCTCGTCTTCTTCTTCTTCGTCGTCGTCTTCTTCGAGCTCTTCCGACAAGTCCAAGTCTTCTAGTAGCTCTTCGAGCAGCAGCTCCTCGAGCTCGAGCGACAAGGTACGTAAGGAGAGTGCGACCGCCAAAAAAGCGACTCCGAAGTCCGATAGTCCGGCGGAAAAGCCCGCGGGTGTGCCTTTCCAGAGGTGAGATCCTTCTTCGGTGTCGCTCGCGGCGCCTCTTAACGATTCGAACGATCTCGCGATCTCGCTCAAGCGACAATAACTGACAACTTTCTTCCGGAACGCAGAGTTAATAGCGCGGAGTGGTTGGGCAAGAAGGGTTCTTGGGACATGTCCTACGAGGGCACGTTCGGTGAAGCTGGTTACGGCGCTAAGGCTCAGCAAGTTCTCGGCCAAGTGCGCGGCGCCAGGTTCACGCATGAAAAGAACAAGAGAAAGAGAAGTTATTTTGGCGGCGCCATTGACAACGACGCCGTCAACTCCATTAAATTCGACTCGGACAGTGACTAGACTTAGTACACGAATGAACGCGTTGTGACGTGCAATGCGAATCGGATACATTAAAAAATCATGAAAAACTAAGCGCGCGCGCTCGGCTAGGGCGAGGACGTCACGCCGTGATGTCTTCCTCAAAACTATCTGCGATGTCGATCGTACCCAGGAGGTCGGCGTCTTCTAAAGCTCCTCGCAGCTTTTTATTCTCCATGCGAAGTGCGGATATCGTGATCTCCTGAGACTTAATCTTTTTCCTTGCGTCCCTGAGCTCTTCACGCTCGCGAAGACGCAACCAAGCCGAATCTTCGTCCATCGTCCCCTGCCAAAAATCGCTCCCGGCATCGCTCACCATTCTGGACAGTTGCGCGTCGTCGCTCGGAGGTTCTCTGGGCACGTACACGGGCGCGCCGAGCCCGATCGCGGTTCTCGTCGTCGGAGGAACGCCCGTGATGGCGCCTCCGCCCACCTGCGCCTGCGCCTCGGTCTGCGCCGAGACCAGAACCGCGAGCTGAAGCGGCACGACGACGAGCGCGGTGAGAATGGACACGACGGTGGCGACGCGCCCTTGCGCCGTCGTCGCCTCGAACGGCTGCCCGATCCCCGTCAGGGTAAGAAAACTCCAGTAAATCGCATCGCCCACGTCGGAGATGTTCGGATTCGTGTCCACCTCGAGATCGTAAAAGAGTTCGCCGCTGATTAAGAAGACGCACAAAAATTCCACCGCGACGGCGAACACCTTTTCGTTCTGCGTCTTTTCCCGCCTCTTCCTCCTCGCATCGATCGACGCGTTATCTCCGGCCAGCTCATCGTTGCCCCCATCGCTGAGATCTAACACCCGCAACAGACGCAACACTCGGAACAAACGCAGCGGTCTGAACTGCTCCGTCGCCCCGAACCCGGCGCCTCCGATTCCAACCAAGCTCAACAACAACCCAAACGTGGGCAAGAGCGACAAAAAATCAATCAACGCCACGGGCGATCGCAAGTACCTCAGCTGGAACCCCTCGCTCCACGCCCTGACGACGTACTCGAACAAAAAAATCGCCTGCAAACACGACTCGGCGCGTTCGATCCCCCCATCCGCCAGCGCCGGCGCCACGTCCCTCGGCACGTAACTCGGCAACACCGCCACCAGCTCCACCCCCCGCGTCACCGCCTCCGCCTCGAGCGATTCGAACCCCGCGATAACGAACACCAACGCCGTGGTCCCCACCGTCCAAATCCCGCTCGAATCCGCGCTCTTGAGCAAATCTTTACTTCGTTTCGCCAGCGTCTGCGTGTGCCACTCCGCGCGGTCAAACGCCACGCGCGATGGATCATCCCCATCGCTCGCCCCATCCACCTCATCGAACGAATCGTACGTCCCCGATCCCGCGTACCGCGCGCGCGCGCGATCGCGCGGACGTCGCGCCGCCACCGTCGCGCGCCCGTCCCCGACGCGCGCCGTTCGCCGCGCGCGAGGCGCGACGACGACGCGCGCGCGCGCGCGCGCGCCCATGTCGCCCCGACGCGCACCGCGAGGTCTTTTTCTCCGCCCCCGCGCGTCGACGCGGCGTCGCGTCGACCCGTCGCTCGCGCGCGCGCGCCGGACTGCGCATCGCGACAAGGACAGCCGCCCATCGATCATCTGTCGCCGTGGTAGTAGGGGTGGGGGAAATTTTACCTGCAAGATGCAAGAGCAAAATTGCAGGTGCAAATTGCAGCTGTTTTGGGGCGTCTCGCGCAAGTCCCCCACCCCTACGTGGTAGGGTTCAGGACGACGCGTCCGCCGTCCGCGATCGATTCGTCGCGCGTCACGGGACGCGTCCCCGTCGACCGCACATCGAGCGTCACGCCGTCGATCGGAGACTGCGCACGCGTGCACACGTACCCTTCGATCACGACCGCGCGATGTCTCCTCGCGAGAACGTCCATAGGTCTTCGATCGACCCCGCGCATCGTCCCGTGCGCGTGAAGCGTCATCGCACGAATTTGGAATCATCGAGGAAATGTGTCTCTTTACATTCAATAGGTTCGATGGCGATCCGACAGCGCGCGATGGACACCACGCGTGGCGACGCGCGCGCGCGGACGCGCCGTCGCGTCGTCGCGGCATCCGCGCGCGCGCGTCGCGCGGTGCGACAACTCGCCGACACGCGCGCGAGGGACGACGACGACGCGCTGGAGGACCTGGAGGACCCGTGGACACTTCATCTCGAGGCATGACGCCACCGAGGCCGGGACCCGTCGCCTCGCGGCCGCGAGTCGCCGGTCGCCACCGGTGACCGCGAGCCACTCGGAGACGTACTCGGTGATCGACGCGTGATCCTTCCGATGATGCGTCCGAGCGCGTCGCGCCGCGAGACGTCGGTGTCGTGACGACGCGAGACAGTTGGCGACGGTTCGACGCGGGTTCAACAAGGGATGCATCACGGTCGACGCGTCGTGTATTTTCGTTCAAACATGGATGGAGCGACGAAACGGCGAATCGCGTTCTATGCTGAGTGTTTTTTGGGGTCCGCGTCGACATCCACCCGCGACGCGATGTGTCGCCCGGACGTCGTACACACATACCGCTCCGTGCGCTTCTCTACGAGTGATCACCCCGCGCGACGCACAGGCCCCCTCGCGCGCGCGCGCGTGGTCGATAAATCCACGCGTGTGCCCATTCGAGGAGTCACGAGTCGTCGATGTGATCCGTCGCGTCGACCGTGGATGAAAACTCGGACCCGCGGACCGTATCGCGCGTCGCGCGCGCCCGTGTGACGACCGACGTGCGCGCCACGAGTGCGCGACGACGACGACGACGACGACGACGATGGGCGACGACGTGGGCAGTGCGCGACGACGACGACGACGACGACGATGCTTCGAGCGATCGCGCGCGGACGACGGGCGATCGCGGGACGATGCGCGTCGGTGCGCGCGCGCGTCGTCGGTGTCGACGACGACGCCGTCGCCGACGTCGCGACCGCGCGGCGATGGATGAGAGGGGCCTCGAGCGGGGCGACGCATCATCTCGGGGACTTCTCCAACGCGTCGTTCCACGATCGACCGCTGTCGTTGGAACATAACGGTGGATTGAAGGAATATTCCGTGGTGTACACCGATCGAGCGGTGAATCACATGAGCTCGACGTTTTGTGAGACGATGAAGAACATCGACGGGATGATGAAGCGGGCGTACAACGCCTCGGGCGTCGTCATCATGCCGGGAAGCGGGACGTACGGCATGGAGGCCGTGGCGAGGCAGTGGTGCACGGGGAAGAAGGCTTTGGTTTTGCGAAACGGGTACTTTTCGTACCGGTGGACGGATATTTTTGAACAAACTGGCATTCCGAGCGAAACCGTGGTGATGCGCGGACGGGCGGTGGACGACGAGGCGCAGCCGGCGTTCGCGCCGCCTCCGCTGGCGGAGGTTGTGGAGATGATCGCGAAAGAAAAGCCCGCTGTGGTGTTCGCGCCGCACGTGGAGACGTCCACGGGGATCATTTTGCCGGATGAGTACATCAAGGGCGTCGCCGACGCGGTGCACGCGCACGGGGGCTTATTCGTGCTCGATTGCATCGCGAGCGGCACGATTTGGGTCGACATGAAGGAGACTGGCGTGGACGCCATCCTGAGCGCTCCGCAAAAGGGTTGGACCGGTCCGGCGTGCGCGAGCGTGATCATGCTCGGCGAGCGCGGGGTGCACGCGACGCGAAACTCCACCTCGACCTCGATGGTCATCAACATGCGCAAGTGGCTCGAACTCATGGATTCGTACCTCGCGGGGGGGTTCGCGTATTACACGACGATGCCCACGGATGCTCTGATGCTCTTCGAACGCGCCGCAAAGGCCACGGAGGCCATCGGGTTCAACGAAACCAAGGCTGCGGCGTGGGCGCTCGGTAACGAGTGCCGTAAGATGATGGCGGCCAAGGGGTTGAAATCCGTCGCCGCCAAGGGGTACGAGGCGCCGGGCGTCGTCGTCTCCTACACGGACGACGCCGCCATGTTCGCCAAGTTCAAGGCGAAGGGCTTCCAAATCGCCGCCGGCGTGCCCTTCATGATCAACGAACCGGCCGGTAACAACACCTTCCGCATCGGTCTCTTCGGCTTGGACAAGATTATGAACAAGGACAACTGCATCAACACCCTCGAGCCGACGCTCGCCGAGATTCTCCGCGAGAATGAATCCGCGGCGGAAAAGACCGCGTGAACGCGCAGTTCACCCGTTTAAGCTCTCCATCGAGCGCTTTACGTACACGTACAGTCAATTCAAAACTAAACGGCCGCGACGACCGAACGCGACGGTCGTTCGTCATGTAAATTTACGCCACCTCACGCGCGTCGCCGTCGCCGTCGCCGTCGCCGTCGCCCGCCCCACCCCCACCCCTCCGCACTCCGCGGCCGTCGTCCGCGCACCGCGTCCACCGCATCCACCGCGCGCGCGAGCGTTTAAAAGCCATCTTCCGAGCCATGCGTTCGCTCGCGCGCGCCACCGCGCGGTCGTCTGGACGCACCGACGTCGTGCGCGCCGCCGCCGCGAATGCATCCTCGACGCCGCGTGACGGTTCGTCTCCCGCGAAATCTGCGTCCCGACGACCCCGTCGGCGAGACGACTCGGACGTGCACGTCCCGAGACAGCGCCGGGCGATGGACGCGGCGCACGTCGCGGCGCTGGAGACGCACGGGGCGATGGCGGCGCGACTGGACGCGAACGTCGCGCGCGTCAAGCGAGGCAAGGCGAACATGTTCCTGGATGGATGCCCGATCGTCTACGCGGGGGCGATCGAGGCGACGGAGGGAAAGGTGAAGACTGGAGATTGGGTGTGCGTGACGGATCACGCGAAGGCGCCGATATGCGTGGGATTTTATAACGAGACGAGCTCGTACGCGGTGCGCGCGCTGGCGATGTGTTGGGAAGAAGAGAGCGTGGACGGTGATGTGGTGATCGCGCGTCGAATTCGCGAGGCGTACGAACTGAGAGTGAGTTTAGGTTTGGTTGGGAACGAGCGAACGACGTGTTATCGGTTGTTGAACTCGGAGGGTGATCGTTGCAGCGGTCTGAACGCCGACGTGTACGGAGACATCGTCGTCGCCTCGAGCACGGCGGCTTGGGCGGAACGCCGACGCGATGTCATCCTTCGATCGATCGCAGATGTGGTCGGTGAGAACACCAAGGTGGTTTGGAGGCGAGACCAGAAGATGTACGAGCAAGAGGGTGAGCCTTGGAACGGGGAGAGCGTGAGTTATTACCACGCCGCGACGGGTGAGGAAATCGCTGAGGGCGTCCCGAGCGAGGTTCACGTCGTCGAAAACGGCGTCAAGTACGTCGTCGATATGGCTGGTGGGCACAAAACAGGATTTTACGTCGATCAGCGTGATAACCGTGCCGCCTTGCGGGAGATGGTTCGAGGTAAGAGAGTCTTGGACGTGTGCTGTTACACGGGCGGTTTCGCTCTGAGCGCCGCGCTCGGCGGTGCCGCGAGCGTCACGGCGGTCGACAGCTCCGAGTCCGCGCTCGCGGTCGCCGCACAAAATGCCGAGTTAAACGGTGTCGCCGACAAGATTGAGTTCGTCCGCGCCGACGCGTTCGATTTTATGCAAGACGCACTGGACTCGGGCGCCGCCGGATCGTACGACGTCGTCATTCTCGATCCACCGAAATTTGCCCCAAACAAGACAGCCCTCGCCAAGGCTCTGCCGAAATACGTCGGTTTAAACAAGCGTGCGATGGCCTTGCTCTCCCGCGGTGGCATCCTCGTCACCTGCTCCTGTTCGGGCGCGGTGACCCAAGACAGACTCCTTCCGAAAGTCGTCAACGAAGCCGCGCGCGCGTCCGGCCGCTTCGTCACCACGCTCTCCGTCACCGGCGCCGGTAAGGATCAACCCATCGATCCATCCTACGCCTTTGGGGAGTACCTCTCCGTCGTTACCGCGCGTATCGCGTAGTATAAATCATGTAACGCGCGGCGCCCGGCGCCGATAATTTTCAGCTCTAAACCCCAGCTTTCACTCAGATCTCCGCTCACGCGCCTCAGACGCCCGCGCGCGCGCTCGCGTCGTCGAACGCGACGACGGGCGTGACGTAAACATGCCCGCTCTCGACCTCGACGCCGCCCTGGCGAAGATCAAGCGATGCGAACCGTTGGACGAGCAAGAACTCAAGGCTCTGTGTTCGAGGGTGAAGGAGCTTTTGGTGGAGGAATCGAACGTGCAGTCGATCCACTCCCCCGTCACGGTGTGCGGGGACATCCACGGGCAGTTCCACGATCTAATGAAGCTCCTGGAGACGGGCGGGGAGGTACCGGGGACGAATTATGTCTTCATGGGGGACTTCGTAGACCGAGGGTACAACTCGCTCGAGTCGTTCACGCTGTTGATGCTACTCAAGGCGCGATGGCCCGGAAGCGTGACTTTGTTGAGAGGAAACCACGAGTCGAGGCAGATCACGCAGGTGTACGGATTTTATGACGAGTGCCAGAGGAAATATGGGAGCGCGAACGCGTGGCGGTGGTGCACGGACGTCTTCGACTACCTCGGGTTGGCGTGCGTCATCGATGGGAAAGTGTTGTGCGTTCACGGTGGGTTGTCGCCGGACATTCGGACGATCGATCAGGTGCGGACGATCGATCGATTGTGTGAGATCCCGCACGAGGGACCGTTTTGTGATTTAATGTGGAGCGATCCGGAGGACATCGAGACGTGGGCGGTGAGTCCGCGCGGCGCGGGGTGGTTGTTCGGCCGAAGGGTCACGGATGAGTTCAACGAGATCAACGGGTTGAATTTGATCTGTAGGGCGCATCAGTTGGTGCAAGAGGGGTTAAAGTACATGTTTCCGGATAAAAACTTGGTCACGGTTTGGAGCGCGCCGAATTACTGCTACAGATGCGGGAACGTCGCGAGCATCCTGGCTTTCGACGAGAATCTCGATCGAGAGGTAAAGTATTTTACGGAGACGACGGAAAACTCCACGATGATGGCGCCTCGAGCGGCGCTTCCCGGATACTTTCTGTGATCCGGCGCGTGCCTTCACTCGCGCCGTCGTCCCTCGCGCGCCACCCGCGCGCGTGAACGAACGTCTCCCACGACGACACGTCGCTTAGCCTCCTTTTAGCGTCGTCCCGGGCTAGCACCGGACGCCAAGTTGCGCCTTTGTACATGTCACACACCTAGAATCGTAGGTCACCGCGTCTCCGCCGACGCCCGTCCCGCGCGCTTCCAGCTCCGCGTCACGTCCCACCCCCGTGTTTCCGCTCTTTCGCCGAGAGCTTCCCCCGGAGCAACTTCAACTCCTTCGCCTTCGCCTTCGCCTCGCTCGCGCTCGATCCCGCCCATCCGCTCGCCTCCGAGACCTCCAACTCTTCAATTTGTTGTTTCAGCTGCTGGAACTTTTTGTAGTCCTGCGACCTGTCACGGTCCGATTGACGACGATCGACGACTCGCGATTTCGCTCTGTGCGCGCCCTTACCCTCGACGCCGAGCCGTCCTCGGTGACCGCCGCGCGGGAGCTTCGCTCGCTGGATTTTACCAGCCATTTAGCGTGCGCGGAAAAGTGGCGGCTGGGCCTCTGTGATGGTTGGACGCGGCGCGAGACGCGACGCGAGGAACTTACGGAGGTTGAAGCGGTCGATGGTGATCGAAAGAGCGTGGCTACACGAGAGATGTGTGAATGACAATGCTGATTATCAGACGACGGTGAACACGTGCGGGGCGCCGGGGGCGTCGGCGGGGTCGGCGACGCGCGGAGCGGAGTGCTCCCGACCGGCGCGCGGGGACGCGGTCATCGTGTTCACGGTGAGATTTTTCGACGAAGTGCTCCAGGATAGGGTGTAGCCGTCCAAGATGTGGTCACCCTTGGCGAAGCAGGCGATGGTGAGCGGAAATTCGAAGACTTGACCCGGAGCCACGTTCCTGGCGACGCGTCGAACGGGACCAACCCAGATGAAGGGCTTGCCGGGAGGCAAAGGAATTGGTCGTCGTCGAACCTGATCATCGGATGGAAACGATGTCTCTCTGTTTTGCCACGCATTTTCGTCCTTGTCGAGTGACCAGCCGCCGTTTTCAACGTTCGCCGGCGCCGAACGCGTGGCGTCAGCCACGAACTCGATGTCCAGCATCTCGTCCGACTCATTTCGAGCCTTGAGCACGACGTTCGACTGCGTAAAGGACGAATTTTGCCGCATTTTAATTATGCTCGGATAGTCGATGGTCCAGAAGACCTCGCTTCTCTGCGAGAACGGCGTTCGAGCGGTGTCTGCGCACCGAGAGAGCTCGACGACATCGCGAATGTGCTGCGCGCCGACGAGAGCTCCATCTCCGGTGGACCACGTCACCATCAACCCGTTCGTGATGACGTCTCCTCGACCTTTGGCAAAATGCTTCATCGTTGCCTGACCTCTGTCCGAGTCATGGAACGCAAAGAGCGACGTCGCGCGCTCCGCAAGGATGGCGTTGGGAAAGTCAAACAGCTCACTCGCGTTAGTATCCGACGTTGGAGAACACTTCAAGAGGGTCTCGATCGTCTCACCGGGACGAATCACGCGCGATGCGCTCGCATCCTTGACTAGTGGTACCAAATTGTACTTCACCCCATCCTTTCTCGACCCGAGCCTGACGCTTTCGATATCAAAAACCTTTGTCTGCGTACTCGCGCTCTTCAGGGATAATCGAACAACCCTGGCTAAGGGGTGCGACGGCGACGGCATCGACGACGCTCTCGCGCTGAATGATGGTGCTACGTCCACTCGCTCGAAAATACGAATGGTCCGGTGCGTCAACAGTTTCGGCGCCGGAGGTTCGGGTTGGTAGCACACGCAAATGCGCACCGTGGCGCGGCCGACGGCGCGAGGATGGAACCACAGAGGCCAGCGAATGGGCGAGCCAGAGCCGAGATTTTCCCACTCGGACAAAGCGTACACGGCACCATCACCGTCAAGTAGATTGTCCTCGGAGTTTCCACCGCCCGTTGCTCCTCGAACGAAGTCGTCATGACTTGCGTTGCGGTGAATGGCTGGCTCGCCCAAGGGGACATGCGAAACATCCACAGGCCTGAGAACGGATTTGGGCAATCGCACTCGTATCCATTTCGCCATCGGCTGTGTCACGTTTGAGATGATGAGATCTATTCTTCGTAGCTCTCCATCCAAAGCTTGCGCGGGGACGCCCTCGAGCGTTGCCTCGCATCTTGGCATGGTTTCGCACACGTTGAATATCAATCGCTTATGTTTCGGGACGTCTCGCAACCATTCTCCATCCGGTCCACGCCGCGTGCGAGGTGCGGCCACATCGAAGTGTCGCCTTCCTCTGAGGAAACCCGTCGTTCCCACTGTCCAAGCCACGCCGCGCACGCGTAAGATACCGGAAGAATGTGGGGTGATGCTCAATCGAATTTCTCGCGTAGACTCGGGTGCGAGCGTCACTTCCTCCACCTTGGCCTCGACGAGCGATCCGATGCTTTCTGAGCCGCCTTCGTTCGTCATTATCTCTCCCAGCGAGGGCGTGAATTCCCACAAAAGACGTAGATTTTTCATATCGAGAGGTAAGCGCAACGGATTTGTGAACTCAACGTCCACCTTGACATCTTCGCCAGAGGCGCACACCGCCGTTTGATCGATTTCAATCTTGCGACCGCCGTTGTTCAGCCAATTCGCACCGGTCGCGCCTGATAATAAATTTTGTGGGACTACGCCCCCGCGCTCTATGGCTTCCCAAGCCTCCTCGCCGTTGTCCGCGCTTGACTCGCTCGATTCTCTGTCATCAGCAAACGTGACGTGAACGTTTTTTATATTCATGCCTGGCAAAGGGCACGCGAGTTCGTCCGCCATTGCGTCGCGTTTTTCGGCCGGTGTTTCCTTCTCATACTTGCCCGCGTACTCTTCAAGCGAAGACAAGCGTACGCGTTGCTCGTCATCGGTCAGATGCGACGCGTGCTTGACGGCGTCTCTGAAAAATTCCAACGATGCGCGCGTGTACCCGACGCGCGCGCAGAGCTGGCCGAGGGTGGTGTTCAGATGTTCCTTCGCGGCGTTCCAGCCATGATCGCTCGTTGCCGGCAGCGCGTACGCGTAACACCGCGTTGCGGCCGCGATGGCACCTGCGCGCACATACCTCACGCCAGCCAAGACCATGTACGACGCAAACTTGCGAAGCATCGGAGGTTCGCAGCGAACGAAAGCGAATGCGGCGCGCTCGAGCAAGAGCGCAGCGCGAAGTTCAGAATCATCAAAGGCGGAGATAACCACGAGAGGTGCGTGTGCGTCGCGATAAGCGCCGATCAGTTGCAACGCCTCGGCGTGCTCGATGGCGGAACGCGTCTTGAGCATCTCTACATGCACACGATGAATATCACTGTGCCCACCACTCAGCTCGTACTTCGACAGCGCCAACATTGCACTGTCGTACGCGTGATCGATGTCTTTCTTCACGTCCACCGTGTTCCGCGTGTGACGTGTCATCAAGTACACATGCGCCATGGCTTCGTATGAGCTTGCCAGCGGCTTCCACGCGTTCTGTGATTTATAGTCCGATTGCACGAGCTTGTAGTGCGCCAAGGCCGTTTCATAATCACCGATCCCAAACGCTAGATCACCCGCTAATCGAATCTGCGATTCGGGCGAGCGGTAACCGCGCTCGGCCTCGGGGCGAGACGCTGTCGTCGTGCTTCGTCCCCAAAAACTCTTGAACTGATTCTTAAAGCCCTTTCTCGTATTGTAAATCTGTGTCGACAGCGCGAAGAGCTTGCGTTCGATGTGTGGGATCAAGGTTCTCGTCACGAACGATCTCACGTACGCCCTTGCTCGCTCGACGTCGTCAGAACTCATGTACTTCCCCTCAGCTGCACTCGAGGCGCTGGCGCCGGAGTGCTCGATCGCGGCGCGAGCGATGATCGTCTCCGCGTGCTCGCTCCACAAAACTCCTGACGCGAACGATCCACTCTCGTCCGAGTTAACGATCAGGAGCTCGCAATCGGGCGCGCCAGCTCGCTGGACGTTCTTCAACAACTCTTCTGCACGTTCGCGTGACGTCCCGCCTCGCGCGTCCCACACGAGAGCCATACCAAAACATGCCTCGGGATCCCCAGCGCCGGTGCCGAACACTGGTAATCGCCTAAATCGTCCCTTCAAGTCCTCGAACACCCTGACGACGTCCTCCGCCGTGCGTTCTCTCACCCGTGCGCACAAAATCGCCCCGACCGGGTGATCAAACGCCTCGCACTCGTTAAACGTCAGCGCCCGCGCGTTTGCGTCAAAGTATCCATTGAACCGTCCACTCGTCGTCGCCTCCTCCCGCGCCCTGCGAACGCAATCATCCAAGCTCTCTTCTCTCGCGTCCATCACCGCTCGCTCGTTCATCGCTTGCGCGTTGAAACACTCCTTCTCGCACGCCGCCGTCCCGCTCGCCTCGGCGTCCGCTCGCGTCCCGCTCGTCGCCCCATCCTCGCTCACGAATCTCGCGCGCAGCTCCCGAACGATCGTCACCTTCGACGCACGCTCACCGTCGCACCGCAGCGTCTCGTTGAGCCCTTTGACGCTGGAAACGGCGCGAAAGAGCGAGACCAACGACTTGAGCTCGCTCGTCGACGCATCTTCGCTGAATCCCGAGCCGTCGGTCCTTCGATCGACCTCGCGCTCGTCCAGGACGCACACCACCGGGGCGTGGGACGCTCGAACGCGCGACGCCGCGTCGAGCGGGCGCGGAGAGGACATGCGCGACGCTGTGCGGGGGCGATCGTTCGATGTCTGTGGTTTGTGTACTGTGAGCAGTTTACAGTCATGTAATTGGTATGTATACTATGATTACGTTAAGACTATATATACATTTGAAGCCGTCCAATGGAAGGCGAAACGGCGAACGACCATGTGGCACCGCACGCCTCGACGACGACGACGACGACGACGATGCGTCTACCGAACGGCGAGCGGTTCAGGAGCGAGAGAGACGGGATGGTTTTTTATCTCTGCTTCTCCATCGCGTGGACGATCGCGATCGCGATGGGCGCCGTCGCCGTGAAGGAGGTCGCGCGCACGGCGTGGAGATTGGTCAAGGTCGCTTCGTCTCTCTTCGCGGTGATGTTGCCGTGCTTTTGCGTCATGGCGTCGACGAACGCGCGACGAATGCGGATCGGTGCGGACGCGGGGGAGGCGCGAAAATCGTCCGGGGCGGCGGATCCGCTCGGGGACGCGCCGAGGGGTCGGAGAAGACTTTGCATCGTGGGCGCCGGCGCGAGCGGGCTCACGGCGACGCGGCACGCCTTGAGACGCGGTTTTGACGTGACGACGTTCGAGAAAAGCGACTCCGTGGGAGGAGTGTGGGCATACGGGCACGATGCGTGTAAAGTCTTTAACAACGTGATTCAGAACGTGACCAAGCTCACGAATGTGTTCGCGGATTACCCGGCCAAGAGAGCGTGGCCGTCGTACCTCGGATGGCGGCAAACAATGGATTACTTGACCGGGTACGCCGCGGCGTTCAGTCTCAACGAGCACATCGAGCTCAACGCCGAGATCGTTCGCGTCGAGCGAGATGAGAAGAGCGGGGAGTTCGAGGTGACGATCGCGTACCGGGGCGAGTCGGCGACGATGACGCATAGGATTGAACGCTTCGATTACGTCTGGGTTGCCAGCGGTCAGCTGACGCAAGCGGCGATGCCTGAGATTCGTGGTCTGAGCACGTTCACAGGCGACGTCATGCACTCGAGCGAGTACAAGACCCCGACGCTGTTCGCGGAGAAGAATGTTCTGGTCGTCGGGCTTGGCTCAGCCAGCGGCTCAGACATCGCGCAAGAGTTGAGCTGGGTGGCGAGTAGCGTCTCGTTATCGATCAGAACCGAGCGCGACGTGTACTCGCGCGGCATACTCGGAGGTGTCGCGAGCATGATGAACCGTGTCGCTTGGATTCTTCCGGCGTGGTTGGGCGTTTTGGGCTACACGTACCTTGACTGTTACGGATGGATTCATCACTTGCGTAAGGGTGTGACGGACAGTGGCGACTTGCTGTCGCACTTCGCGTTGAATAAAATCAAGCGCGTAGACGTGATCGAACGCGTACACGGGAGCACGGTTTACTTCACTGACGGTACGTGCAGCGTTTACGACGTAATTATCTGCGCCACTGGGTACCGTCGCTCGTTTGATTTCATGGCAAAAAATCTTCAGCCGAATGAAAAATCTGGACTTTTTGAGGATTGCATCTTACCAAGCGATCCACGAGTGGCTTACGTCTTGTTTGTTCTTCCATTTGGCTCGCACTGGCAGTTGGCCGAGCTTCAATCAATGCTCTTGGCGCGCGTGCACGACGGAACCATTCCTCTTCCATCGAGAGAAACGATGGCCACGCTTGCGGATTCCTTCAACATCGTCGGTACGCACGAACACCTCGCCGAGTGGTGGAAACACCGATACATCTTCGTATTGGCGCCGTACATCTTTCCAAAACTCGCGACACTCTGGAGACGACCGCGCTTGGCAATGAGAATACTCTGGTCGCCTTGGGTAGCTCCATTCGGAGAATGGGCGAGCGAGAACGACCGCGATCGAACGTGTTACCGCGACTCGTGGGCTCTCGCAAACGTCACGTGGAGCGGTCATCGACTGAACAGATGCATGTTCTTTCCGTGGTGATAATACATTTTACTCTCAAGGCACATCTACGAGCTCTATCTCACCGTCTAAGTGTTCGCCAATATCCTCCTCTAAGCGTCGCCATTGGTTACTATCTCGTTTTTTCATGAGCGCGGACCCACCCATGACGCCGATGATCCCCACCACCGGCATGGCCAAGTATACGAACACTCCCGAGTCGTTGTCATCGCTCGACCCCGGCGGTGACGGTGGCGGCAGCGGCGACTGTGACGGCGACGGAGGAGGAGGCGGAGGAGGGAGTCGCGGAGACTCGCTCGCATGCTCAACATACTTCTCTCGCAACATCTCGCAGTTCGCGCTCGCCATACCGACTTGCGAACGCGCGACATCGAACTCCGTGAACGTGTTTCGCATGGTTATCTGACCCAAAAGAATCCTGTTATCATCATGCTCTAAAATGCCGACACAAAACGCCGACGCGTTCTTCTGATGCCAGTACAGGTACGTCTCTGGTGAGAGTGTCAAACGAGCACTTCCGTGGTACTCAATCTTCAGCGCCGGGAAGTATTCGCTTACAGTGCTCCATCCTAGTCCTCCGGAATTGCCAAAGCACAAGTCGGGATAATCCTCCGGTGGAGCAACTTTCTCCAAACCGCTCTCGCGCGCGGCATCTTCCGCAAGCTGAAGAAAGCGTGCGTGCATGTTACCCGGTACATACGTGTACGACGTCCCGGAATCGATTATGGTGAGTACACCTCGCGAGCCTTCCACCACGCTATTCCCCAGCGTCCAAGAGGTCGTGGTAACTTGGTAGTACATGGCCGAACTCACCATCGGCGTGTAAACCAGAGCCGGCGCGTCTGCGCCGAAATCAAAATTACCAAGCGTCAACAATCCCCCGACGTGCTCACCCGAGAGCTTTTCGTACCCCTCGACGCACATACTAAATAAATCATCTATCACACTCGCGCTCGCCAGTTGCGCTCGAAGCGCGTAAGCCTGACGCCCGAACCCAAACAATCCGTCCGCGCTTTGCTGCTTAATCGAACCCAGCTCCCTTTCCTCGCATCCAAACACAACGGTCGCGTTTCCGACGCTCCCACCGAGCGACACCACGTCTCGCACGAGATACCCCTCGCTCCCGCTCCCTTCGAGATAGTGAACGTCATACCTGCACACCCCCGACGTCCCGCATTTCCCGCCGATGCCGGCGCACGCCGAGCACTCCACGCGAGAAAAATCCGCGCTCGCGTCGTAATCGTAATACCTCCCAGCCTCGTGCGCACCGCACGACGCGCACCCCTTGCACGGCAGGTACGTTCGAGAGCTCCCGGTGTCGACGATCAACTCGAACGTCTGCGCCCCCGCGAGCTCGAACGACGCGACCAGGACGCCCGTCTCCAACACCTCCCCGTACACCTCCCGCGCCGTCGACCCGAGCGCTCGACCGCGCGCCGCGGTGTTCTTGAACGGTCTCTTACGCAATCCCATCGCGCTCGGCGCGCCGTGAACGCGCGTCACGAGCGCGAGCGCGACGATGGGCGAAAAGAACACACGCATCCATCGTCGCCTCGAACGCCCGACGCGCGCGCCGTGCCCCACGCGCGCCATCGCGCGCGCGCGGAGGCCGTCGACGCGATGTTCGCACCCTTCTCGTCGAGCGACGCGTCGAGAGAGCGCGACGCGCCGACGCGGCGTCGTCAAATGTCGACGCGGACGAATTGAGAGATTCATTCGACGCGACATGAAACGCCGTCTCGAAGACCTCGCGCCGCGTCTGCGCGCGCTCTCGCTCGCGCGCGAGACGTCCACGAGGACGTTCGCCGCGGACGCGTCGGCGAACCGACGAAAAGCGCCGTCGGCGCCGCGCGAGCGTCGAACGAACGGTCGAAACACGACGCCGCCCCGCGCCGCGCCGACGCTCGCGCGCGACGCCGACGCCGACGACGGGCTCACGCGACGGGGAAGACGAGAGTTCTATCGCGAACGCGCGATCGTTCGTGGGGACGAGCACGGGATCGACGCGAGGGGGTTGTTCGAGCGGGAAGCGACGCGCGAGGCGTTGCGGGCGAGCGCGCGGCTGGCGAGACGCCTGCGGGAGGACGTCTACGTCGTCGGTGGGGCGGTGAGGGATTGGGCGAGCGGGCGAGAGGCGAGAGATATTGATTTAGCGACTAGGGCGAGCTGGGAGGAGATTTCGAGGGCGGATCGATCGGCGAGACGCGTTGGAAGGAGGTTTCCGGTTGCGTTGTTGCGAGCGGGACGCGGGACGGTGGAGTTAGCGTCGTTCGGTCGCGGGAGGGCGAACGTGGGTAAAGTCGAGGTGAGGGATGTTGAAGATGATGAGGATGTAGACGGTGAATCGCCGATGACTCCGAGTGGGGAGGTGGATTATGATGAGATTTTGCGGCGAAGGCGAAGAGTTCGGACGACGAGGGCGACGGTGAGGACACCGCGCGTCCGGATGGACGAGGAGATGGAGCGGTTGGTGGAGTGCGAGGACAATGCGTACGAGCGTGATTTCACCGTGAACGCGATGTTTTACGACCCGAGACGTAACGAAATCTTGGACTTTGTGGGCGGGATGAACGACGTCTTGGCGCGTGTCGTTCGCACGGTGAAACCGACGTACGAGAGTTTACGAGAGGACCCAGTGCGAATGTTGCGAGCGATTCGTCTCGCCGCGAGGCACGGATACACAATGACGAAGGAACTTCGAGCGGGTTTGCGGGCGTATGGACCCATTCTCGCACACGAAAACCCCAGACGCGTCTTCGTCGAGATGGAGACTCTGATGCATCACGGACATTCAGAGCAAACGTTCAAGCTGTTATGGCACTCGCTGTTGATGCAGTACATGTTCCCCGTACAAAACGACTTCTTGGTTCCGCGCATGCCGAAAAAGTCAACGCTGACGTACGAGATGGACGTGTCGATGCAGCGCGATTTCGACGGCGGCGCAAACGCGTTCTTCGGCGCTCTTCGTGCGTACGATGCGTTCGTGTCGTCCAAAGACGAAGATGAGGACGAACAGCGACTGCAAGTGCAAGCGAGCGCTCCACAGTGGCTCGCACTCATAGCTGCGCCCGTGGCGCTTCAGAAATTGGCAGCAAAGACGGAGGAATCTCCGACGCTTCCTCCTCGATGGCGAGACGTCGCGAAGGCGTCTGAAGACGTTCGCGAAGACGCAAGAGCGAGATGGGAAGCGTTCACGGACGCGATCGTGGATGTATTCGAGGAGATGATCGAACGCACAGGTTCAGACTCGAACGATGAGGAGCGGAAACACGTCTCGCTCCTTGAGCGGCCGCACTGCGCAAGCGCTATAGGACTTCTCCTCGCGCAAGGACCTGTCTTCGATGATTTCGATGGATCCACGCGATGGATGGACGCGTCGTTCGGGTCCTTGAGCGACGGTGGCGCGCGTCTGTTATCATTTATTCGAACGAAAAAACGCGGAATGGACGATAAGCGTCGAAGTCGTGCCGAGGCGGAGGTCGTTCGCTTGAGTCTCGAAGCCGCGTACGGGAAGTAAAACTAGTCAAACAAATCAAATCAAATCTCTAGAAGTAGTAGTTATCGCTAAATTGTCTCGCCCTCGTCGCTGAGATCGTACACATACGTCAAATCGCTCACGCTTTCGCACGATCTCGTGCGCTTCGCCCCTCGCGTACCGCTCGCCCGCTCCAGCGGTGGCTCGTACGTGAACACGTGATAGTGGGGCACGTCCACTGAATTATTTTCATTCATATCGAAATTCCACGACACGCACCGTGGTCTGTTCACTCTCAACCACGCACTCGTCCAACGCACGATCTCCGACCCCGTCATCTCCTTTCTCGACCACAGCGTCATGTGCGTCACCCCTCTCGGCGTTTCGTACGGGAACATATTCGTCTCGATGTTCACATCCGCGTCTCTGAGCACGGTGCGCTCCACGTGATCCTCCACGCCGTAGTACCCGAACATGTCGTCTAATCTATCCACGTGCTCCCGCTTCTTACGCGTCGTCTCCTCGTCTCGCGTCCAGTACTCCAATTTAAGCGTCGCCGGCGGCTTCGCCTCCACGCGTTCGCGCTCGCTCGCGCCGTCGATCACGATCCCATCGCTCCCGACGTCCTCCGACCTCCGACGGCTTCGATATTCGGCGCACGCGTCCACGGAGGTCCCACGATCCGTCTCCGACCGCTCCGGCGTCGCGCGCGCGCTCGTGGACGTCTTGAGCGACGTCGAGAAGGGTTCTTCGCGGCGGCGTTTTCCTTCACCTTCACATCCACCGCGCGCCGCGCCATCGCGCGCGCGCGTTTTTCCATCCCCGACGCGGTCGCGCTCCATCGCGCGCGCCTCCAGGGCGCCCCGAGCGACGCGCGGCGTCGCG